TATATATATATATACACATGTTTAAATCTATATGCCAATAATGGATTTTAGAGATATTTATCTTAATAAAGAAAACAACTGAATTACACACCAGTGTGTGATAACCATTATTTTTAAATCTGGTTAAAGGGGATTTTTTTCAAAAAGTGCTTGCTCATAGGGGGTCGTCTGATTGTATATAAGCACCTTGAGATGAATGTTGTTGTAATTTGGTGCTATATAAATAAAATTTAATTTGATTTAATTTAATTTAAAAACATAAGTCAAATAAAAAGAAATATCATATTCTGCTTTCTTACTTTGAAATTGAAGCAATTTTGTGGCAATGAACATGCTAACTCATTAGTACAAAAGGCTGAGTTGAGTCCTGAACCAGCACTCACATGGCACTTGGGTACTTTGTGAGAGTGGTAAACATGGCAATTGAACTAAGTGGATGTGTCAGAGGTCAAAGTGATATTCTTTCCGCTTTTAAGGGGGCAGTGGATGGCACCCTAAGGAAGCCAGTAGATAAAGAAGCAAAACAATTAATCTACATGTACTAAGGAAAAGAAGAGAAAATACTTCACACATAAAGAATTCGCCTTATTCACGTATTACACAAACGCCTCTATGAGGGCCCTGCTCTCATAATTTGTCATCAAATTTGTGCCATGGTAAAATTTTTATTTCCTTCTCCATTCTGCACTCAAAGATGGACCATTTTGTAGTTCCAGCTTGTCAGTTGTCCTAACACGCTGATCTAGTACCTCTTAGGTTAACATTATAAGCACTGACAGGTAAAGTGAATGGCTCATGGCTCCTGTTAGTGGGTGGGATATCCGGTCTTTAAGTGTTGACATATGAACCCTGCTTCCGGGTCCAAACTACTCTGCGTTTATTAAGGTTGTTGTGTTTTTAACGTATTTTAATGCTTTGTATCTTGTTCTACTTAATCTGAAGAAGCCTCTAAAAAAAAGGCTGTAATCACTGTCCGCCTCTCTCAGTTTTTATTACCACTGTTCATTCTAAAGCTCAGTTTTTAAAACCTTGTTATGTGATTACAGCCCAGCACAGGCAGCAGTATATTAATGACTAACCTGGTATTGTGGATGGATTATCTCAGTTGTTCAGTTGTTTGGTCCATTTTCAGGATTCTGTCATACAATTGTGTTTGTCCCTAACAATCGGGAACCCTCACGTTAACTTTTATTAAGTGGAAAAAAGTTTTCACTGTGCTAATGTGTTTATAGTATGCTAACCCTAGCTGTGTAGCTAGCCACCATGTAGCACACCGTTACATACCAGCTAGCCCAACTTCAGTAGCCCTACAAACGTCACTACTGTTTAGATTTCTGTCTTCATTTATGTCAGAAGTGATAACAGAGCTGTACGTTTTAATTTTTTCAGAAATCCCTCAGTCAGAACATGGTATGTTTAGATGGAAACTAGCGAGCTAACTCCCTGCTATCTTCTTACTCTGTTTAACTTCATAAAACCTGTTTTCATGGATGCCTGAATGTTAAACTTAATTGTTACACCTGGTAGAGCAGCCATACTGATCATTTTATTACAGATGACAGAATTTATACAGTTTTTAAACTCTCAGTGATGCTGCAATGTTTGTTTGACTTTGGGACCCGAAGCGGAGTTTGGACCCGGACACGGCTCAGACTTAAAGACCTTATAGAGATAAAGAGTCCATTTAGTCCTTAAAGTTAATGTGTTAGAAGAAGGAAAAAGAGGCAAGCGTAAGGATTTAAGCAACTTTCACAAGGACCTGTAACGGGTTCTGGGTTTTTCCTGCAGTGGATAGTATCTATCAAAAGAGGCCCACAGAAGAAACAGTGGTGAACCAGCAAAAGGGTCATGGACAGCCAAGTCTCATTCATATGTGTCGAGCGAAATCTGTTCCATGTGATCCAACAGATGAGCTATTTTAGCTCAAAATGCCAGTAAAGTTAAAGCTGGTTCTGATAGAAACATGTCAGAATCCACAGTACATCACAATTTGTTCTGTATGGGGCTGCATAGCCGCAGACCAGTCAGGGTGACCACGCTGACTACTATCCATGCTGAGAGCACCAACAGTGGCCATGTGAGCATCAGCATTGGAGAACGGAGGAATGGAAGAAGGTGATGATGAATCTTTTACATCATGTGGAAAACCGGATACATCTGCGTCACTTACATGCGAAATACCTGGCACCAGGATGCACTATGGAAAGAAGTCAAGCTGGATGAGGCAAGGCAGGTGGTCATAATGTTATGCCCAGTTGGTATATTTTACTATTGTTCAAATACACAGTCAACAACACTGTGTTTACATTTTTAAATTCATTTTATCAAATTGTATCTGCCCTCCATTTATTGCCTTTATCTAACATGAGCAGTGATTTAAATCTCACATCCTTAAAGACATATAAATAAAAAAAGTCTGTCAAGCACATGTAAAATCAAACAAAAATGAAAAGAACATGTTCATTAGAAATAATCGATTGATAGAATGTTAAAATCAGAATACAAAAACATAACTGAACTTAACATAACTCAACTGAATACACACTGATAGAAATGATGACAACAATGCAGACAGAAGGCTATCAGTAATGTATATGTGTTAAAAAAAATTACATAAAAGACATGATGAGACACATCAAGAAATAACTGAAGTGAACACTCACTGTTCTTTCTGTACAGCAGGATTTCAAAGCAGTTAGATTCATAATTGTCGAACGTCTGTCTGACTTTATCGATGGTCTTCTTGTCTGTCAGCTCTCCGTACATAAAACTGTGAAGGGAAATAAGCAATATGAGAAACTGCAACAATCAATCATCAGTCTTTCATGCCTCTGTATGATATTTCATATATGTTATTAATGGTACTGTCAATGTGTTATCTCACCATCAAAACTCCATTAATTCTTATGTTTGGTTCAATAGAATAAAGTGATGCAACGGTTAAAGGATAAATTGGGCTCACAGGGATGTGAGTGCAGATTTTTTCTGGGCTGTAATCATTCCACAAAGGGAACATTTATACATTTCTCCTACTTTGTTTTCCAAGATCAAATTCCAGTTCCAGTTTGCACATCCACACACATTTGTACTTTTTAGAGTGGGCACAGATTCAGTCACTATTTCATCCATTATACTGCCACAGTGCAGGTCATTGGACGTTTTCAGAAAACTGGGATTTGACATCTAACCCCACCCTCTAACCCAGGGTTGTCAAACTCAAATACACAGTGGGCCAAAATTCAAAACTAGCACAAAGTCGCGGGCTAATGTTAATATTTATTGAAATATATTTATTCCTCCAGATATAAGAATGAATCTTTTCTTATGGACTCAAACACATTTTGCTGAAAAACTGAATATGGAACAAGCAAAGCTTAATACTAAACAATATATATATTAGCTGTATAATACCAGTAGGCCAGCTCTAATAGTAATTTGGTATGGCTTCGCGGGCCAAATGTAATTAGGCTGCGGGCCAAATTTGGCCCGCGGGCCAGAGTTTGACACCTATGCTCTAACCTCTAATGGAATGGGCCAAAGTTGAATGTCGCCTTCTAGCAATGTCACCAGTGATGTCAGACATATTAGTAAGCAGAGTGGAAAATTCAACCTGGCCTTACTGCGAGCGGAAGACAGGCATACAGAGAAATAGTTCAGTGAAATGATGTGAAAAATCAAGCACAGCATTAGTTTAGGATTAGCTGTTGTCAGTGCCAGCGTACATCCTCCGCTGGCCTTTCTATCCATCCAATAAGTGAATCTGTGAATCAGTGTGGGCAGACTAAAGCTGCTTAATCTGCCCACAGTTCTTAAGTTAATTAATGTCATATCTTTCTTGTTCTGTATGGGAGTCTCCTGCTCTCACGGGCTTTGGCTTTCCACATTTGCATGTTGAATTACTGGGAAATCCAGCAATACACGTGTAGTGGTGTGGTGATCGGCCTATGGGACCAGTCTAAAACACGAGTCCTTCGTAGGTTGGCTGATAAAAATCCAAAAGCAAAACACTGCAATTTGTATAGCATAATGTTTCATCTTCAATTCGCAGCTGAAGAGGTCTACCTTCACTTTTTATGAAATTGTTTTGTTTTTTCCTTGACTTACTGCTATTAGGATTTATGTGAAATGTCAGCACATCTGCACCACTGTTACCGATTCATACCTTTTGTACCACAGTTAAAAGACTAAAAAGAAAAAGAAATGTCTCTGGACCCCATTAACAGGCTGCTGTCTTCCATCAGTTTGGCAGCAGCCTGTAAGTTTAAGCTCTCAGTGGCCTCTTCAATCCTCTCAGTGTCACGACTGAGCGCATTGTCAGTCTCAGTGTCCTCTTCAGCCCAGAGCAGCAGGAAGCACAGGGATAAATCCGTGTCTCTGTTCTCACTCAGCTCAGTGTCCGAATGGAGTCTTTTTAGCTGCAGGCTAGTCAAGGCCGACCCCACCCCCACCCACGCCACACACACACACACACACACCACCCTCCAGTCACATCTGAGAGCAGCCTGAGGAAAGGGAGTCAAATTTTAAAACATCTTGACTGACAGGCGAGCAGGGCACCGTCCTCGAGGTGGACCGGGAAGAGCTCCCCTGACAGCTCCAGACTGGATTCATTTCAGACACTCACTGAGTGGTGTGCCATCCTCTCTCTACTTCCTCTCTTTCAAAACAAGAGTTTTTCTTTTGGCTAGAGGAGGACAGAATTAGGGAGGTGCAAAACAACTGACACTTTGAAACCTTTTCTTTGTTTGTGTGTATCTTTGCAGGCTAAATAGAGAACTTTGAAAGTGACAGGGTTTGAGCTGTGAATCATGGCTAGTCTGGTGTGGTTATAAATACAATAGTGTTGAAAAAAATATATAAATATATATTGGTTTTTTATGAGTCCCACTCTCACTGAAGAATAAACCATTAAAAATGCATAAACCCGGGAGCTAAATAAGACATATGAGTCTACTAGAAATTCAGCAAAGGACTGTATGCAAATGTGAAGATGAAATTTAATGCATATATAGCTAAACTGGGATTGGATTATTGCTCCATTACCACGCTATAACTAATAATGCTGTTACACAACAATACGTGCATATTTGCAGTCTTTAAAATGAACCTATTCTTATTTCCACCTTTTTTCTTCTTGGACTCAAAGACAGTAGCTCTGCATAATTCAGAGTTCAAAATAGTTGATCTCATGCTGGACCTTGATGCACCCCTCAATCAACCCACTGTCTTAAGCTGTGTTTTAGCCAACCTTCTTCTGATTGGCTGTTCCTTCCAGACGTTAGGTTCAAAAACCAAGCAGGCAGGTCGACTTTGGTCGCAGCCAATCACATACAAGTAAACTGCTCTGACTGCAGTTTACTAAGTTTTTCAGTTTATTACCTGAACTTTCAGATATTTTTAATTTGAGCATCCTTCAGTGCAACAGTAAATATATGCCAGAAAACAAATAAAAACATATCAGGTCCACTTCAAATGTCTGGTAATGATACAAAATCTAATTTGACTTGTACCTGCATGTGCTGCTCTTCTGCATGACCTCGGCTCTGTGGAAGCCAGACAGCTTGCAGAATCCGTCATTACTGTAAACTATGGGCCACTCCACGATCTGGGCGTTTCCCAGGAGAAAGCTGGTCTCTGACAGACAGACAGGAAAGACAGAACATCAGCTCCAGACAGCATCAAATATAAATAACAGATAAAAGGCTACAAAGCTTCTTAGCCTCTGAGGAGGACTGGATAAAGATGTGTTAGACTGGCCGTGTCAGTTTTAGTTTTGCTCTTCATGAAGCCAACATTGTTCTGTTTGTAGTCTTAGTGGGAAGAGATTAAAGGAGAGTTTCTGGTTTGAGGACCTCAGAATTTCAGAGGATGCATACTTTAATTGATCTTTGAAAACTGATTGTAAAGGTTCATTAAGCTTTGCTTTAAATATACTATATTATTATACTAGTAATGAACCTTTTGTTTAGCCAAACCACAAAAAAGTGATTCGACTTTAAACCGATTTGTTAGAGCTCTTGTTGCAAAGCTATTAAACCAGAGGAAATGGTTTGACCATCAATAAAGCTAAAAGCAGGTTTAGAGGGTGTTTTACACTAAAAAGACTAAGTCTGAAACAACTTCTCACAGCGGAGGGAACATGCTGCACTGATAACATGAGGAGGAACGATTACAGCAAGCAAGAACTCTGTGAGCCAGCATGCAGTAAGACAGACTTCAAAAACTCTGAACTTAAAAGCTGCAGCCGTATGTGTGCCCTATGGAATAAGGAACTGAGTAAGGCTTACTTCAAGACAGTCAGCCTGAATCAAATCGACACTGGTTAGGCTACTCAATGACCTTAATGTGCTTCTGGTGCCTGAGCAAAATGTTTTGGGTCATTGCCATGCTGGAAGCTCCATGATCCATCTTCAGTGTCTCGTCCATGATTTTAAGGGGTAAATCGACTGATTCTTATATAGCGCTTTTCTACTCCCCCTGAGCACTCAAAGCTATAACATGCACATTCACCCAATCACACCCATTCACACAAGCACATCCTTCAATGTTTACTATCTAACATTCACGCTCATTCATACTCCGATGGATGTATCGAAGAGAACTTGGGGTTAGTATCTTGCCCGAGGATGCTTGGCATGCCGGGGATCGGCAGGGATCGAAGCACTAACCTTCCGATCAGTAGATGATCTGCTCTACCTCCCGAGCTACAGCCACCCCTTAATACTGTGAAGTCATCCTGTACCCTTAACAGAAAAACAACCCTAAAACATAATGTTTCCACCTCCATGCTTGACTGTGAGGATGATGTTCTTTGGGTCATCCTCAGCATTTCTCTTCCTCCAAACATGGCGAGTCGAGCTTAATTTTGGTTCTTCTTTGACCACGACACTTTCTCCTAAGCCTTCTCCAACTCATTTAGATGTTTACTGTCAAACCTAAGATGGGGCTGCAAAATTTGAGTCCATTATAATGTAGTGTGTTACCAGTGCAGTTCTTGGTTACTGTGGTTGTCTTCAGATCATTAACAAGCTCCTCTTGTGTAGCTTTGGGCTGATCCACCACCTGTTTTATGAGCCTCCTCAACCCTTGAGACTTGATGGAGCTGGATGGAGATGCACAGAGCTCCAGACTGAAGGCGACTGAAGTTCATTTCCTCTGTTTCCAAATAACTGAACCAAAAGTTGTCACCTTCTCACCAAGCTTCCTGTTTGCCTTTTGATGGTTTTGTAGGGATCAGATACTTATTTCTCTTAAACACTGTAACATTGTATTATAAATAATTCCCTGCCTGTACAATGGCTAACACTGAGCAGTGCTGATTTTCTAACACTGGAATATTTCTAACATTTTGAGTTATTTTCCAGTGTTAGAAAATCAGCACTGTTCAGTGATAGTCTTTGTTAATCTTCAAAACTGACTAGGTTACTTTTAAACATATAACACTGTCAAAAGTGTTAATTTAACACTCAACAGTGTTGTATTTAACACTCAGAGGTGTGGACCCATATAGACACTCTCCAGTGTTAATTTAACACTTGAGATTTTGCTGTGTACAGTGTACCATGTAGGGTTTGCGCCATATCATACCGTTCACGGTAATACCGGTATAATGTTAGGATATAATATATATAAATATAAAGATATAATGTTACTGACCTCGAACTGATTTTATGTGGTACACGGCGCTCGAAAATCTGTCAAAAAATGTTTTACTACGAAGCTACGAACCTGCACCGCTTGATGGATTGTCGGAGCATTACGGCTATTGTAGGCAGGAGCCTCGCGGAGTGATACGTACTGTGCTTCAACATAATATTACCCTATTGTGTGTGTATAATCTAGGTTTTGTGGAAATTATACATGGCTGAGGATATGTCGGCCAATTTCCACTGGAAATGCCTTTTAGTTAAACTTTCAGCAAGGAATTTGCATTTGCACTGTTAAATTTTATATAACTTTAATGCACATAAAAAACAGCTGCTTGTTTAAGTGAAAATACATTGATGGGTTGTGGAGTTGTAAAGTATTTTGTCTCGCGTTAGTTATATCGTCAGTTATATCGTTATCGTAAATTTTACAATATATATCGTGATAAATATTTTTGGCCATATTGTCCTCCCCTAATACCATGTATAGTATGCTATATATTTTGTTAGTGTTTATTACTGTTTTCATTTTATTCATTGTTTAGCTTATCAGATAGAAAAACACATCTGCATCATGAATATTTGGTCCAACTTTATGGATACAAAAGTCACCTGAACCTGATTCTTCAAGTCAGTTTTACTTATGAGGACAAAATAAATAATGGACATGACCTTATGAACAAGAATGAACACAAATTCCCCCCAGACATGCAATCTATAAGAATGAGTGAGAAAATCATAAACCTCCCCAACCCTCTTGTTCAACCTGAATGAGTTACCCAGCAGCTACAGTCTGGCACAAATGAGACTGCAGAAACATCAGGGCAGAGGAAAAATACCACCAGCAGCTTCTTGCCCTTTCTCCTTTCCCTTTTTAACCACACAGACATTAATAATTCATTTGATATATTCTGCATGGTGATAGCTTGGTCACTGAGGAGAACAATGCAGAAGGTTTTGACTGTTTAACAATTAGCTGTACAAATCTCATGCACATCATAATGCTGCTTAAGTTTAACAGATGTGAGCAGTCCCAATGACATATTCAATTTTTTGTACATAAATTTTCTGGAGTATATTAAAACACACACACATTGGGTTTCAGGATTAGCGAGGTTCAGTTTTTTACTCTTAATGTATTCGAGGTGTAGCGCCTGTGCTCCAATGACCAGTAAGAAAGGCTACACTTGTGAAAAGACTAAGTCCTGCATTTCAATACAATCAAAGCTAAAAATGATAAATGACTCTTTATCAGGAGCAACTATGACTAAAGAAATATGGAGGACGGGTATTGTTTGTGTACAACAATGAAATAAAACAAAACACATTATTCCTTTACTTGAAATTAAAACAGCCCATGAGAAAGATTTACTTACTTGATGGCTCTGGCCCCACTGTGCCTTTGATTCCCTCCTTGTGCCTAACCCAACAAATTATCACTGCTCATGAGTTATGCATCAACCTATCACACTAAACACAGCCCAATCAGCAGCACTGCAGGGTAGGCCAAAACTTTGTTTAATTCCTTAGAGTCTTTTCAAAGTAAAAGCCATCTAGTGCATCGACTTTTACCATCTTGTTTTTGGAAAAGCTACACAGCAAATTCAAAAGTGTTAAATGTT